ATCGCGCGCACAACCTTTTTCTCGATCTTCGTCATCGCGTCATCGAACACGTTGCGCTGATCCTCCTCATCTTCTTCTGCTTCTTCATCTTGCACTTTCCGCAATCTCTGCTTCTACTCCTTTCCCATCAACCTCTTTACTCCGCCACGCGCAATGCCACCTCATCCGTGATCGTTCGCGACCCAATCCCCCGTCTACGTCGCGCCAATTGGCTCGTTCACCATGGGCTCCAAACGCCCAATGCAGAGCCTGATCCTTGAGATCCTCAATGCTCAACCATCACTTAGAGATTCAAAGACCTACCTCAACTCCTTTGCCCCTCGAACTCGTCAGCCCAGCTCTGCTGGGACATCGCGACAGCTTCCGCCTGGCTTCTTGCAGCAACAGCAGCATCAGAAGCAGCCCACCGGTGAAACGTCGTCGAGTGCCGGCTCAGGTCTGAAGCTGCCAAACTCCTTCCAACTTCCACCCCCGCCCATTGCCAGACCCGCGAAGCCCAACAAGCATAGCGACGACGTCAACCGACCTGAGCATCTCGCTTCGCGGCATTCAACTTCCCAAGAGCAGCAAGAATTGATCCCTGCAAAGGATGGCACGGAGGCAGCCCTGCAGCCCGAGCTCTCGCCGGGGCCCATCACTCAGCAGCACACCGCCTTGGTCAAAGTGCAGGGGCCTTTCACAGATAGGCAATTGGAGAGCATAGCGGAGGGAATGGTCTACCTCAAGAAGCTTGGGCTGGTCTCCGTCATCGTGATGGACTCAGAAGAGGCCACATGGAGCAGTGGAATGTCCCACTTTGCCTCCGTCGATGGTCGACGCTTGGACGCTTCGGAGATGGACGAGGTCGAAGAGGCTAGCATGGCCCCTTGGCTTGGCGAGGCCGCCGTAAGAGCGAAGGGAGCCGCCAAGGCAGCGGCGGGTAGCAAGGGCAGACGTCTTGGATTGGCTCAAGAGGCTCTCAGAAAGAGGCTCGTTGCGGACGTCTACAAGCTTTCGGAGCTCTTGTCTCAAAAGGGCGCTCCAGCCAGGCCTTTCCCTCAGGCTGTCATGCGCGTGGATGCCGAGGCAGTGACTGCTAGGCATGCCGCCTCACCGCCTCACTTTCCGGAGAGAGCACCGAGGCGTTCAGCCAGAGAGGGCAAAGCAGGTCATTGCTGGGCAAAACAGACAGCTTCAGCGCAAGGACAGAATCTGGAGGCCAAAGCGTCGCTTGCCGCGGCGTCTTCATCTTCGTCGTCGGTCACAGCTGCAGGTGGGAATCTGATGTCCGCAGTGCACAGATCACCAGTGGCCAGCGACGACGACCTGTCCACCTTGCGGTCCGCCCTGGCCAGCGACCAAATTCCAGTGTTGGCACCTCTTGCTCTGTACAGCGATCCCGAAGAGCATGGAGCAGAGAGAACTGTATGCGTGTCTGCAGACGATGTGCTTGTTGGGCTGGCTAGAGACATGTCTGCTGCTGCGCGGGCTGAGGAGACCGCTGCGCTACAGGGACAAGGACTGGAAGACGGCGTCGACATGATGCCTCTGCGCTTGATGGTCATGTGAGTGCCCTGGAGGGCTCGTAGGAGCTGTTTTGGCCTAGCCGCTAAGGCTTTGTGTTTTTTTTTTGTCCCAGAAATCGAGAGGGAGGCATACCGTCCCACGCACGAGGAGGCAACCCTCATCTCTCCATCAATCTGGCCTCGGAGTATGCGCACATCCGCGACCATTTCGTTTGGTCTCGCACACATCCCACGGCACTCAGCAATCTCGCAATGGTGCAGGATTGCCTTTCCTACATGCCACACTCTTCCTCTGGCGTCGTCGTCTCGCACAGATCACCACGAAGTCTGATTGCGAACCTGATCACCAACAAAGCAGCT